GAGGACGCCGCCATCTTCCCCCCCCTCCCCCGGAGCCGCCGCCGCCGCCGCGCAGCCAGAATGCACAAACACCGCAACACGCACGCGCGGTACGAACCAACCAGGCCACCGTAACTCCAGCCTCCTCCTCCGGCCCCGGTTTGCCCTACGCTTGTTTTGCCTCGCAGGTCTGCCTCGTGCGCATGCGCAAGGCTGAAACTTGCTCCCTGTTCCAGTGCCTGCGCTGGAGCCGTTTGAGTATCTGCGGCGCGTCTTGAACGTGTCTGGCGATCGGTGCCGCTCCTGACCTCGGTTAACCTTTGGCGAGGATACCCAGAGATCCTGCCGTGAGGTTGATCGACTCGCCCATGTACCCTCGAGTTTCTTCTCGGGACCATCCGGCGCTCCAGAGCTGCGGTCTCACATCCGACTAAGCCAGATTGTGGCTCGCTTGTTAACTGGTTAGCGTGATTTGCAACTCCTGTGATTTCGTAACCATGGTGTGTTGTTTGAACCCAGTTAGAGTGTATTGAGAAAACGATGACTTATTGTGGATAAGTGAACTATGATTTAACAGAGATGTCCAGAGACGTCTTAAAGTTAATTGACAAGGGGAAGATTATTAAACACATGACTAGAGACTAATTATAAATATATTTAAATTAAATTAAATTTAAATGCCACGCCAAAATGCATCACCTTGTGTGTCATATGTCTCTCTAGCATCTCAAGCTCCTGTTGCACGCTTAAAGATTTTGTTCAGTTAGCTTAGCAATAATTTTGCCCAAGAAAACCATCCCCCAAATCGTGATCCCTTTAGTGGTCAAAATGACTCTAATACCCAGCATGGAATAATTTCCAAACAATATTATGGTTTATAAGTGGTTGTTCCACTGACTGTCCTGGCTGTTTAACACTGTGTGTGTGTGTGTGGTTTCCCCCTTATAGCTTCCCATTTTCCCCAAACACCTGCTTTGGAGTGCTGAGGAATCTATGGGGCAGATATTGTAGGACACGGTGCGCTAGAGTCCCCAAACTCTTCAGCTCATCTACTGCTTCATGAACTTTCAGATTGTTCATCGACCCCCAAAATTTATGGTATTTAATAAATGCTACTTTAACTATTAATATTAATGAACAACAGTGGATAGTCCCATCGACCCTTGGGGGTTGATATTGACCACTTTGGAGAAGCCTGTGCTAGAGGACAAGAATAATGCTTCATTGTGTGTATGTGGACTTCAGCTTGCCCAGTACTGGGTTTCTCCTCCTGGTTTGCTACCTTCTTTGAATAAAGATGTCTCTGAGCAAATAGCTTTGAACATTAAAAGTATTTGGCTCTACCCAATAAGCATGTGATAGTACCATATAGTGAGTCCTCCTCCTTTTCTATCACAAACTGTTTAGTAGCATGTCCAAAAGTAGGCTAGACTGATAAGGTCAGTGTAGGGAAAGGAGACACAAGTTAAAAGCCCAGGACAGAACACACATCCACTGAAAAGTCCCCACTCTTTCCTAGAACTTAGCACCAAATGTCAATTGTCAATGTGGCCTCCCAGCATGCACTTCATTGGTCAAATTCAACTCCTGCCCCCTGGGTCACTACTTCTGAGCGTGTCTTGAAGGTAGGATGTACGTAAGGAAGGGCTCAAAGAGCTTAGTGCAACTGTGTATTGATCATTCCAAGCAGAAATTGAATTGATTTGTACTTTTAAGCTGCTAATGAAAAGCATGCATGACCTCCATTATAGAGATGCTTAGATATAGCAGTGGTCCTTGATCATGGTTGGTTTGGGTACTGCTTCAGTGAAGTCTTCCACATTTTCTCGCCAGAGATTTCTGCAAAGTAGCCAGCACTACCTGCAATCTTTTTTCCTTGCCTGCAAACTTAGTGACATTTTGAGAAAAGAAACCAGAAATGGCAGGCACAAAAATGTTTTAAGTGATGACAGCTGACTGGTTGGGAAAGCATTGTAATAGAAACCATAGTATAGCACATCTGGAAGAAAGTAGGTTGGAAAGAAATTGTCCTTCCAAAATTGGCAAGAGCAATAGACAGCAAAGATTAACCCTGAATATTCAATGTTCATTCAGCAGCCCTGGAAGTTTACTTAAGGGCATACCCATGTGGCTTTTAGAGGATCAGCTTTGTTTTAATATGTAACTGGAGGCCACTTGGGGGGAAGGTATAGTGGTAGATTCTTGCACTGGGCAGGGGATTGGATTAATTTATCTTAAAGTTCCTTTTCAACCTTTACATTCTATCATCCTATGATATTCTGTCTCCTTTAATCCATAGCAAGAATGTGCAGGAGCACTGTAGGCAATCAGCAGTTGGTAGATATAGCTGCTTAGGGGAGCTGGGTTTCTCTTTGGAGAATACTCCATACATGCAGTGCAAATGGCACCAAGTATGGGCACCCAGACATCTCTTGCAATTAAATATAATGGCAAGATTTGCTATATTCTCCAGTCCTGACACTGGGTCTGGATATCTCAAGGCACTCTTCTTCCAATTCCTTAGAGGGCTACGATGGAAAGGAAAGCCTTATTTGAAATAACAAAGGACTACTTAGTTGGATAGACCTGGAGCCGATTGCTTCAAGCCTGCCAGAACTACTGACCAATGAGAACATATACTCTCCCTGCCCCCTGCCCTGTTTACAGGAACTGAAAAGGGTGCACATAGATATCCCATCAGCACCTGCCAAACCCCAAGAAGGCAGCCACCTTCCACCAAGCCACTTAAGTAAGGACAAGTTGGTGGCACGTGGCAACTGGCATGTTTTCACAGGAGCTAGCCAGCACCATCATCTGGCCTTAAGGAAAGATCCAAACTGATCTCAGGCTAAAGTGGAAGTGCATGAAGGCAGTTATGGTTCAGCAAACACAGCAACAGCATCATGGATTTGCTGTAATGAAATATTGGCAGAAATCTGGAATGCCCCATCTTAGGACTTCAACTCATAACTGGTAATGATCAGAAGGAGACTGGAAAAGGCCATAAGAGTACCTGAACCTGGAAAAGGACATGCTAACAGCAATGGGGACTAAAGAGATATTGCCTAATTCTGACCAGTATTTAGATTTAGCAGTTACTTTGAGGGGGAGGGGAGGGACTGCCTTCAACTCAGTGTTGACTGTTGGCGACTGCCTGGACCAGTCCCTGCAATTTCCTTGGCAAGATTCTTGGAAGTGGTTTGCCATTGCCTCCTTCCTGGGGCTGAGAGAGAGTGACTGGTCCAAAGTCACCCAGCTGGTTTTGTGCCTAAGGTGGGACTAGAACTTGCAGCCTCCTGGCTTCCAGCCTGGTGCCTTAACCACTACACTACTTAACCACTAGTGTAACCAGTTAGAGTACTCACACAGATTAGGCAAGCTAGCAATCTCAGTTACATGTCCTACTGCATCCTGGAGGAAAATATTTCTAACAAGGAATCTACCGAATGCTGGTACAGCACAGCAAAGTGAAGAAACTATACTGCTAAAATACACCCAAAATAGAAACAGAGGGAGACAGACTTAAGGAGGAATGTTAGGAAAATGACAGAGAGGCAAAAGGGACAGAGAAGTTGAGCTCCAAGTGTCTCACACTCTGAAACCAACCCAGAGGGTATAGCAAAGCAGAAGTAGAGCAGTAATACTATTGTGAAACTCTGCAAGTCTGTCTGACTGCCAACACAGCAGTGATTGCATGCCAGCCCTTTACAAGCAACAGAAAAGTGACATTCCTTCTAACAGTTCAGGCTCCCACTCCTGCCCTTTGAATTCCCTCCTCAGTGCGCAAAGACAGGAACAGAAGGTCTGACCCAAACAATAAAAAAGTGAGAAAACAGTCCTGCATATTTCTAGAGAGAGTTTCATACATCAAACAGGGAAAAACAGAATAGTGGTAGAAGAGGCTGCCTGGGGACCAGAAGGGGAGCATCCACATTAGGCTGGAATGGCCAATTAGAGTCCAAGCGATTTTGCCCATTACTATTTGCCTCACATTGTTCCCAACATAATGAGTGGCAAAGCACAACAGATTAACTCCCCTTGCAGCTACTGCTGAATACTGTTGGCCTAAGGAGAAAGATGCTACTGGAACAGCTAAGGATGAGTTAAAGCTGTCTCACTCATGGGCTGGAGATGCCATGAGGGTAGTGTCACAGGGGCACAACAGAAAAAAAGATGTTGCCAAGACATGTTTGTACAATGGTTAAATGCAGTAAGGGAAAGGCACTAAGTCTCATGAAATTAACTACTGTGGGTATTATAGTATTATAGTTTTCTTTCGAAAAGAAAAGAAAGGGTTTATGATGTGTTGATGTGAAGAAAAGCATGTGTGATATACTGGATATCTTAGCAACATTGGCTGGATTCACAAATTTTACCAAATGATTAACTTTTAGTGAAAATCCATCCATTATTGCTTCTTGTAATGTGTAAGCCAGATTATAAAAGCTTATTCAACAGATGATGATTAAAATCTTGGCTAATGTATACCCATAGAATATGGTACAGATGTGCAAAATGTTATGATCCAAGGAATGGAATGTTCCACAACTGGACATGGAATCACTTTCAGAAAATAAGCAACCACTTCTGGGAGAGGCAGATGTGGCCACAGAATTTTGAACGCCAGTATAATATAGTTATTATGAAGTGCAGGTCCAAAATCCAATCCCAAAGTGCTGGGTTCTTGCTCCTCAGAGTTACTTTGGGACTTCGTGTCTTTGAATCATGGAGTTGGAAGGGACTGCTTAAACCAGGGGTTTCCAGTGCATACTGCAGGCTGTATTCAACCCTCCAGGGCCATGGCTGGGACATCCTCTTCCCTGACAAGAAGCATCCAAGAGTTTGGATGCACATTCAGTTCAGTGCTCTGAGTTTCTCAAGAAACACAGCTAGACGCCTCCTTGTCTTTAGGCAGCACAGCCTGGACACCCGCTCAGCACTCATTCCAAGAGAGATTCCCTGGGGTACAGCCACTTTCTGCTGCTTCCCTCCTCACTTGTTAGCCAGCTACACCAGATGTCATAGACAATGGCCCCCAAAGGGGGGACTTGGTTGAGCCAGCTACTGGCAATGTTGCATGGAGAACTGCTACCACAGTTGCTGCCTCCACCTCTGACAGCGTACCTACAAAAATGACTGGGCTGGAACCAGGACATGCCCAAGGCATAGCATGGATCCCTGAATAAGTGAGGCAGAACCAGCCATCCGTGAGTGAGGGAGGGGGCTAGCAAGGGAGCAGGCTGTGCTCCATCCTGCATCAAGCATGCTTCTTTCACTTCAGGCTGAGTTCCAGCAGTGGAGTTGATGGTGATGGCAATGGGAGCAGATCTGGGGTGGAGCCCTACCTGGCAAAGGGAGGTCTGATAATATCTATGAGCATGTGGGAGGGAGGGGGGCGCCCAAAATTTTCTGCCCATTTTTCTCCCAGGGATGTGGAGTCTTTTAAAAGATGCTTTTTTTCCCCCCAAGCTTTAGATGGCCAAACCCAGCAAAACAATCATATCACTGAAAATCAGCAAATTTGGCACTAATTTCAGCAGCTCATCAGAAGCTATTCAGGAGAAGTGCAAAACGGGGCCCACGGCCATGACCTGCCCATGGCTTCCCTGCTCCTGGCATACGGCTTCTGACTTTGAATGGCTCCAGCTGTGATCTTTATAATAATTAAACAAAGAATACACATACAAACTGCTCTGCCCCACACCAGACAGGGAGCCATATTTCTGTTTCAAAAGCTGTAGCAGGAAAGAGCTGTTGAAATGGTGGTGGAAGGAGGAGCAGATCCCAGCCCTCACCCAGACTGTAATGGTTTTGCCACCGCTGGAGGGGAAGCCCCACGTAGGGGGTCAGTGGTGCAGGACAACAGCCTGGGGTTGACTTGGGTAGGAGTGGGGGACACACCTCACCTTGCAATGGGACTCCTCCTCAGAGCCAATGGCTTCCCTACTCCCAGCTGCTCTCCACACAAGAGCAACCACCCCATGCCCAGCTTCATGGCAGCCTCAAACACCACTGTGCAGCCACCCCTACAGCTTAAGCAGCCAAAGGGAAATGGCAAAAAAGTTGCAGTTTTGCAGGAACTTTTTTTATTGAATAAATGTATGTGAAATGGCATCCCAGGACCTCTTCATTTTCTTCATTTTTGACTGACAAGATACTTTTCTATCAATGCACAAAAAGGCTTCAGGACTGTAATGGTTGGGCTCAGGTGGCCCTCACGATGCTTTGAGATTGCAGCCTCCTTGTGGCCTGCTCAAATACACCCGGAGGAGGAGGAGGAGGAGGAGAACCCACCTCTTCTCTGGGTGATGGGCTTTGAGCTCTTTCTTTTAGGGACTGGCAAGACTTCCACTTCCTATATGTGTCCTGCTCAGTTTGAACTAAGCGTTTTGTGGAATTATCATGGCTTCTGCTGCTGTCCTCCATTCTTTTCCTCATTTGAATAGCACGAATCTCCTTTTTTAAAGCATTGCATTTCTCTTGAGCACATTTTCCCATTAGCCTCTTCTCCTGCCATGACATCCTATTGAACATTAGTCTGAGTTTATTAAAAACAACCTTTTTAAAATCCAAGATATATCTTAACTAAACTCAGCTTTTGCTTCCCTTAACATTAAGAACTCTTGCAATTATGTGATCATCCTTCCCTGACTTTCTTGATATTTTCACTTCTCCAACAAGGTTTTTCCTATTAGTTAGGATCAGGCCAAGGATAACTGATCCTGTTGTGCCTTCCTCTCCCTCCCCCGCTCCGCCGAAGGAAAATATTGTGAGCAACACAAATTTCCTGGAAGGACCATTTTGGTATATATTACCTCTCAACAAATGTCAGAGTATTTAAATTCCCCATCTATTTTACATATGTTTCCTTTCTTTTCAGTGTGAAATGAACACACACACACACAAATGTTAACACAGCTACCAAACTAAATAATTGCTAGCAAACCTTTATTAGAGTCTTTTCAGCAGGTGAGATGCTAGCCCCTCTCAGTTAGGCACAAACAAGGAAGCAAGAATTACACAGACTTCTATAAGGTGCATTTAATGTTAGGATTGGAGGTAAAGTTTCAGAATCTTGGAAATTTGCAGCAAATTTCCTGCCTTCGTGTATTAGTGGTTGATTAAGGTAGAGTCTCTTTGAACCATTTGAATTTCTTCTTCCTGGGCTTTTTGCAGCCTGGGCTGAGCTGCTGTTTATTACCAAAATCCTTCCTTATCTCTTGATGCTTTATGTCCAATATTTCTTCCATTACTTTCCCACTCCCCACAATCTCTCACAGCAATCACGTTATTGAATAAAAATAACACCAGCACATACTCCTGTAGTAAGAGCCATACATTTAAATACCTCTGACATATATCTATCACTTGTTTTTAATTCTTTCCTATGTCTTGAACTGTACAAACTCTATTCAAATGGATTCAAAAGGAAATGGAAATCCTTAGAGAAATCAAAGGGAATTGCTCATTCCTTGCAGAACCTAACATCATTTGACCAAAGAATCTACAATGTTTAATAAAAAAGAATTAATTTGTTTTTCCAGTATTAGTTTTCTAGTCAGAGACTTTGATTCTTTTGTTGTAGTCTATCCAGTTTCCATAGCAGTATTGTGTGGCCTTAGCTGCAATGAAGGGTGCCCTGGATTTAGCCTGAATTTTGTTGTGTGTGTTTCTGCTCATTTAGTTCCTATGGAGGAACAGGATTGGCATTCCTCCTCCTCCACTTCCTCTGCTTTCAATTTATAGAGTGCACTCCCTTTTATGTTTGTAAAATAAGAAGCACTGGTTTTTTTTAAACTGAGGTACTTACCAATAAGTTAACAGCAGTCAGACCAGCTGTTTTATTTTACCCAAAGCCTACTACGGTCAGTTTATGACCTGGTTGTTTATCTATCCACTTATCAGTTCCTAAACTTATTTTCTCTTGTGATAAATGTTTCATTCTTGGCTTGTTATCAAGTGACTTGCTTCCAGTATATCTTTCTGTTTTCGTAAGGCATAACTTTAGCAAGGTGTAACTCCTCTCTGACATAGGGGAGAAAAAAAAAGAGATACAGGCAGCCTACAAGATTTTTGTCTGAATCCTGAATTAATCTGGATGTTTTATTTTCAAAGAGCATTTCTTAGTTTATTATATATAATTTTCAAATATTTTTTTCAGTTCTGGCAAGTGGATCACATCTGTATTTTTACGGCACCTGAAACAGAAACACCCAAGCTCTGGCCTTTTTAATCAACAAGATAGTTTGTGAAGGATTTGTTAGAATGCTTATTCATTTATTTATAAGAATATCTGTTTTTATTTTGATGACGGGGCAGGATAATGGCATCCAACCCGGTCTTCAGTATCCAGTTTACCACTGTGGACCACATCCAGCATGTCACTCTTGTGCATGGCTGAGAAGAAAATAGCAAGGCGCCATGAGTAGAGCTGATTACACTGGTCAGCCATGTGCAGCAAGAAAGCAAAATCATTCTGTCCATCTGGAATATCAAAGACATGACAATCTTCGTGCACTTGCTGAAAAGAATACTTCTGCAGTGGTTGCCACAAAAGCCACAGGAGTGAATAAACCCCCACAACCCCATACAGAAATACTAAAAAAATATAAGTAGCTATCAATTTCTGTAGAATGAAAGCCATACTGTGGGTACAGAGGAATGTAGAGTAGCCAATGAGGTTCTCTATGTCTGCCCAGCAAACATGCTTGAAGGAGATGGATCCTACACAGTTGAAGGTATAACCCAGCACAGTTAGAACCTTTGCAGTTTTGAAGATTGTTTGTCCCATATAGATCCTATAAATCACCCTACCAGCTTCAGTGTGTGCCCTAAATCTACGGATCTTCTCAAAAAGGGCCTGGCCAAGTTCCCGATCCTTTGAATCTAGGATAGGGGAAGGGGAAGATGTGAGTTGTCCTGGATACCCAATATTAACAGTATTTTTGTGCACACCTAGGAAGTGCTGGCAACCTATTTCAGAGAGAGCCTTGGTGGTCCAAGGTGACTCAAAACATTTCATGAGAATGGACAAGAAGTGTTCAATCTTTGATGAAGTCTTAGGATATCTGAACCAGAAGTTGTTGCTTGCCATTAAGAACAGTGAATTGACAAGTGCAAAATAAGGGAAATACTTCACGAACCAGGGCAGAACTTTCTGATAACAGACATAGCTGATGTATAAATACTGTTGGTAGTCCAAACTGACTGAGCGATGACTGTTTGCCACAGGAAACTCTTCAGTGATGGTTTGATCCATAGCTCGAGACTTGGGCACAACTGCTGAAGTCTCATTTAGCTTAACATTCAGAGGCAGACAAGTCATGTTATCAACAGAGATTAGTAGAGTCCCTGAGAGAAGAGAAATCATCAGCATTGCTAGTACCAAGTAGTCCATCAGGACATCCCACCAAGGCTTTAGAGACTGGAACTGGGCAAGGCTGTCATTGAAGAAAGTGACTTCTGACAGGGTAAACATCACTAGAAAAAATAGGAATAATTAATAGAAATTGAGTAATTTGTTTGGCTGTTGCATTAATACAAGTGAATATTTTTGAGCATTCATTGTCCTAACTTCAGTTTGAGACCTTGGAAGACAAAGATCTACAGCAGATAAAAAACAAAAATTATAAAATGCTGTTATCTGCTCTGAGGAAGAAGCATATGAATTCCTGCAATAGACTCTGTTCCACAAATATGACATGAAACAGCAGAGCATAACACTATATATAACTCCTTGGAAGCAAGTCTCACTGACTCAGTTTACACATTGTGCCCACTAATGTGTTCTTTTGTCTTTTGCTAATTGCATTGTGCAGTTGTGGCTTATTCACTGAATGATGGTAAAACAAACAATGGTTTAGTAGAAATACAAACTATGCTAGAAAAAATCAAATTGAATTATAATACATTGTCCCATCCTCTTGTAGAGAGTAGTAGAATTTTCAACCCATATTATCACAGAAGTAAAATATCAAATGTCTTTCAAACACTTGTCTTTTACTGCATGCAAAATACTAATAAATAAACAAATACAATAAATACTACTGTGGATCTAATAGATATCTGTTCCTGAGCTGATGGCACTGTTTTTTTCAAGGAAGCCTGGAAAAAAACACTTATTAACTCAAGTGGGAAGTTTCTTATAGTTTGGGTTATTTTATTATTGTATGCATTATAAATAGTCTTAAGACCAGTGGTAGCTGGTAGTCTATAAAGTTTTAGATAAATAAAGTATGAAATTCACTGGCTGAGTTGGTCTTTGTTTTGGTGTGTTATGTAGCCTAGTCAGTGTGGTTTGTAAACCATAGTTTATCGTTCAGAATGCTATGTGGCAAAACAATGCCTCCCACCTCATCTCTTGCTCTCACTACCCAACACTGACCTCTCCCCTGCCATATCACTTGGTACCTTGGCCCTTATAGGGGCCCATAGCACCAGTCCAGCCCCAAGCCCCATAAATCTGCCTTCCCTCTCTTACTCTTTCCCTTCTTCGGTCCAGCATCAGCTTCTCACCTGCAGGCAGCAATCCTTTTTGCAGGCAATCTACTCTTCTTTTTTTCTATCCAGGAGGATACCCTTTTCCAAATCTTCTCTCCTTTAACTGTAGTTGCCTACAATTTCTCAGGACCACTCTCAGCACAAGAGGCTTTATTTCATCTCCATGGCAGCTGAATGCAGGAGGAAAGGACTGGAAGGGGGGAGAACAAAGCCACTTGTGACCGAGCCAGGAGGACTCGTTTGCTTTCAGCATGATTGCTCTTATAATGCAAAGAACAAACATGAAGGAGAAAAATAAAAACTAGGAAAAATCACTAAACATATTCATCACAGAACTACCAAGAGAACATTTTTTAAAAACAGTTTTGTATCCCTCCAACAAGGCCAGATTGCCAGCTGATGCCCTAAGCAGAGCTTAGTAGTGGTGCCTCTCCATGGAACCAAAACTCTCACACCATGAGACAGAAACAAATGTGATATCTGACAACACCTTCAAACCAAACTTTCAAACTTTAGTCCCTCACCATGCCAAAGAAAACAGAGGTTGAACACGGCAGATAAGGACAATTACCAAAAAAATTGACTAAAGTTGAGTATGGCAGTGAAGGAGTTGAGAATATGATAGGTAGGAGGAGAAAACTCTATGATGCCCCCTTCCCTGGATGCCCTGAAGTAGGTACTTATTTTGCTTAATGGTTAATCTAGGGCTGCCCTCCAAGGAACTTAAGGAAGCATAGGGGATGGTGCTTCCATAATTCGATTCTCAAGAGAATCCTAGGTAGAAACATCCCGGAATTGTGCTCAGGTTTTGAAGGAAGCATCCAGAGTTTTCTTGGTTCCTGGTCTAGCCAACCACCCTGTGGAATTCTCAGAGGTTCCCCGTCCAAATACTAACTAGGGCCCACCCTGCTTAGCTTCGGAGATCTCCAAGGCCAGCTCACTGCTGCCACCTGTAGAGGCAATACAGCAGTTAGGCTGATGTGGGAGAGTATGCTAAAAATAACTGGCTATTGCCCAATCAGCTTTAAATGAGACCAGTATCACTCCTGTTCAGTATAACCCTGGAACGCAAGCAAGAGAAGGCAGCAGCTGATGCTCTTTCCTGTGTGTCTTTTGCTCACCCCTCTGGGTCACCTGCCTGGAAAAACTTTATGGCTGTCCACAGAGAAAGTACAGTACCAGCCACCATCTTGGCCCATCTGCATGTTCTCTGCTGAGTTCTGCAGCACAGAAGGCTGTTTATAAAGGAACTGCCTCCTAGCCATAACATTAAAATGGTGCGTGGTTAGAGCCCTGTGCTTTTGTTTGGAAATGTGCCCAACTACCTAGGAAAAACAGTCAACCAAAGGTAAATTGGAATGATAGAAATCATTAGAGGGAATAGAGATTTGGGGAGCCATTTCATCACCTTGTCTCTTAGTCAGTGGACGTTTTATGGCTGGCTCTGGCATCCATTTTGCAAGCAGGCAACACCTTCCCATGGAGGCCATTTTGTGAGAAAACTTATAACATGCTCCTAAAAATCCATGAGCAACCACCAGCTCAAATATTTCACCCCAAGGCTTGTAATTAGGGGGTAGGTGTGTGGGGACTGGCTCCCAACTTTTCCTGCTGCCCTTAATTTTACTTTGTCCTAAAAAGATAAGATAAACTTCCTCTACATTTTTTTAGGCTTCCTACAGGCTTACCGCATACTCCTGTTCTCAGTTATTATACACTAGGACTCGGTAGCATTTTTGCTTCAAAACAAAAGAACATTTTGGAGTCAAAAAGTTGCATGTACAGGTAGTCCTTGTTTAGTGACTGCCTCGTTTAGCAACCATGTATATGGCCAGTCTGCAATTCCTGAAAGCAGATGTGTCTTTTCGTAAGACTGTGGCTGCAGGTGATTCATTCAGTATAATCCCAGGAAGTTAGGTTGGGGCTAAGGTAGGGCTGCCCTACTAGGACTCCTGATGCCCACTAGATGGCAGCAAAGAGCCTCTCCACTGTCAATGGATGGCTGGAATCCCCATCTAGTATACCATTAATCACAACTCTATCTTATTTTTCCACCAGCACTTGAACGAACAGCATGCTTACATGTGCCCAGTAGCATAATGAACTCATTTTAGACTCCTTTTTAATACCATTAAGAGGAGAGAAGTTTTGTTCATGGAAATATGCAAATTTCACCTGTTTCGTAATAGACTAAAGCAGCCTAAGAGCTTCAGCAGACCTCCTGCTTGTTCTGCTGAGTGAGGCCTTCAGTTTCTGTTCCCAAGTTCTGCCCTGACATGCCTGTTGACAGCATCTTGAAAGATAAAGATTTCTTCCAGTAAGGCTCAGTTTCTGGTGGCTTCGGGGACTCTTGACAACAGTACAGAAATGGCATGGCATGCCATTCCCTTCTTGGATTTTTTTTTTTAACTTCTCTAGCCCTCAGCCCTGAGAGTTCGCATCATCACATCTGTCCATTCCCCAGGCTTTCAGATCTGTAGGCAGTCTGCAGATATGTTACATTCCTAAGTGAAAACCTCATCCACTGATCTGCTCGGCATACATTTGATTAAAGTTGCAGTTTTACTTTATGCAGTACAAGAACAGGTCACTTCAACCACACTTAGCTCTATGAACCTGGGGCATGCCAATAGATGAGGCTGCTTGTGATTAGAAAGCTATGAAAAAAATCAGAGAAGCTTGATTTCCCATAGGGAACAGACAAGGGCAACAGACATTTCTTCACTGTGTTTTAAAGATATCATATTCTGCTTTTCTTTCCTAAAGGTTGTTGTTGTTTAGTCGTTAAGTCGTGTCCGACTCTTCGTGACCCCATGAACCATA